CGTACTGAATTTTTGAGGTTCAAACAAAATCAGCGCATAAGGTTACACAGGGACCTTTTAGGACTTTAAGTCCCAATGGCGGGACTGGACCTGAAAAAGTCCGGTCCGGGACTGTTCAGGACCCGGTCCCAAAAGGACTGATTAACATCCCTAATCAATATGCAATTAATAATAATATCATGAAAAAATGATTTAATAAAACAATTAAATATAAAAATACAATCTATTCATCAACTCCAATATTTTTGTTTGATTTTTGTTCAAAATAAATTATCTAAGAATATAATAATAACAACAATATCAGTATGTAATAAGATGATATTGTGTAAATTAAATATAAAAAATACAATCTCTGCATATTTATTCAATAACTCCAAGTTATCATCTGATTATAGTATATTAAATATGAAAAATAATCTTAATACAGTGCATAATGTGTTAAGCCATTGAATCTATCTAATATACAGGTGGATCTTTTAATTGAAGATGCTACTGCAGTGATAATGCAAGAAAATTGGGAAACGTTATTTTGTTCTCGACAAAAATAAACAGGGTTGTGCAATTTTGCTGTACGAGAAGAATCTTTGTACGTACATACATACATACTAGAGACCCCAGATTTATGCGGCAACAAACATCAAATTATGCATGCAACACTTGGTAGATTATGCAAATTATGCGCTATATTTTTTTATTAACATTTTATAATAAACTTTATAATCTCATTAAAAACAAATAATTTTAAATAAATATTATTTGTTATAATATAAAACATTAAGCATTTCTAATGAATTTTCTGAAAGATTATGTCATCTATCACTTAAAATATTTTTGTAATATGAAAAGCTTCGTTCCACATCCACCCCAGACACTGGAAGCCATATATACTCTAAAGCAATCCTAGAAAGTAATGGTAATATTTGTTGTTTATCATTCCAATATTTATTTAAATCTAAATTTTCCTCCAAAAATTCATTATCACCACAATAAATACTCCATTCATTAATCAATTCATCTTCTGGATTTATAAATTCTTTGATAAATGAATATAACAAAATATTTTTTTGAGATGAAGAAGCTCTAATAAATTTTGGATTAAAACATTGGATTTCTTTAAAAAGTGGTAATGCTGAATGTCTATTAACATGTTTATATAATTTGTTGTAGGCAAGGTTAAAGGCTTGAGAAAATGTTGGTATTAAAGATTCTTCTGATACATTTTGAATTCTACATAAATCAATCATACTTTGATTTAAGGGAGGATTTTCAATGCCAGCTCTTAATAAATTCTTTGTATTTTCAATGCGTAAGAAAACATAAGGTGCTATAGCCTTGTCACAAATTTTAAAAAATTCTAAGTCCTGGATCAATCTATTTTTATTTTTAAAGTAATTACTTATCATAATTAGGAGGAAAAAAGATTTAAAATTTAAAATTCTATTACCTTCTTGCATTTAAAGTTATAAACTTAATGATTAAATGTAAATAAGAAATTCTATGAGGATTTGAAAAAATTTCATTTAATTGCATGATTGATTTTGGTGCATCAGAAATTAATGATTCTTTTGGAACAAATGAAACCAAATGTAAGAAATTAGCATCTAACCAAAATACAAAATTAAACCAACTATTCCAGCGAGTTTTAACTGGTAAAGGTGGAAGTTTTGAATCTCTGTCAGAATTATTTGCCTCTGTCAAATGTTGTAGCCATCTTCGTTTTCTTCTACCACTATGTACAAATGCTGATTTAATAAAACCAACTACCTGATCTAATATTTTAAAGTCATCAAAATCTATCCATGTTTCCCCCACTAAATTAAAGATATGAGCAAAACAAGTGTTGTGAAGTAAATTAGGTATTAAAGGTGATAAACAATCTCTAAATGCTTTTAACATATAAGAAGCACTATCACTAATTAAAAAAGTAAGTCTATCATAAGGAATATTATAAGAGTTAATTGTTGTAATGATTAATTGGGAAATTGTTGAATAATTGACAATCTCTAAAAAAGAGGTCTTTACTAGTTTGGTATATTTTCCATAGCTAAATAAAATATTAACTGCACTACGACCACATGCATCCATTGTTTCATCAACTGTAATGCAAATATGCTTATCTCTAACTTCATTCATTATTTTGTTTATTGCTTGCTCATAAACTATTGGTAAATAATGCTCATGTAATTGATTTGAGCCCACAATACCTCCTCCTGTTAATTATTTTTTAAAATTATCAATATTTTAAATTATTTATCAAATTATCAATATTTTAAAATTATTTATCAAAATTATTTACCTTCTTTAAAATTTTCTTTAAAAAATGATTTCAAAGAGTCAATTTTTTCCAAAGGTATGTTTGCTTCTACAAGTGTTTTTACTAGATTTATATTAATCCCTTGGCATTCAGATATATTTTTATGCAAAGAAGTGATGGTTTGTTGTCTTGGTATAGCTCTGCTAGAATTTTGTATTTCTAATTTATTTTTTTTATGAGAATTACTTTCTAAATGGTTGTCAATTGTTGACTTTCATTTATGGTCTACTACATGTCTGCAAGCAATACAAAATAATTTTGTCCCATCAGCATAAAAATCATCTTTGTAATTTTTTTCTTTGGCTCTTTGGAAAGCAGAAACAACCATTTTTTATTTTTATTTATTTATGTAGTACAATTATGCAAAAATTATGCAAATTATGCAACAAATCGTCAATTATGCACTGCATAAATTATGCATTAAAAATCCAAATTATGCGAAAATTATGCAAACGCATAAACCTGGGTCTCTAAAAATGATTAATTTATAACATACCAAACAAAATCTGAATCATTTTTCTTGTTGGTCATATTGCTGACAAAGATGTATATAATCATGTGATAATTTTAATCTACATGACAGAAGACTGATTGGGCAAAAACTCATTCAGTCCCCCTACCCAAAATTATAAATTGGTTAGTATCAAAGAAACAGAGAATTTATGAAAATAATTATACAAACAAACACTATTTTACAACTTTCATCTTAAAATTAGAGCCCAAATGCAATTTCAGGGTCACCAACCCCACCCCAAACTGTGAACCTCATGTGCTTGAAACAAAGTTGCAGATTCTCATTGCTTTGATTGATCTGGATGTTTACATGGCACTACAATTCATCAACAGAGTTGCAACTTGGTCACAGAGCCATCCTTGCCCTAGAGGTAGGATTGTTGCAGGCAACTTTTCGACCAGCATGCCAGCAGCCATCTCTGGTCTGTGAAGATTAGTGAAAAGTCTCATTGACAATTGATGCAGTCTTGGTAAACTCCAGGGCCATACTAGAGATTGGCACCATTAACTGTTTAACTATTTTAACTGGTTAACTGCAATTAAACAGTTAACCGGTTAAAGTCTTGTTTTAACCGGTTAATTAATTCGGTTAACCAGTTAACCGAGTTAATATTTGTGTAATAATAAGGGGTAAAAAAAAAAATTTTTAATTCAAAATTTTTTTAATGAGCGTAGCTTTAATGAATGAATAGCTTTAATGAATAGCTTTAATGAATAGCTTTGATGAATGAATCGCTTTAATGAATAGCTTTAATGAATAGCTTTGATGAATGAATAGCTTTAATGAATAGCTTTAATGAATAACTTTAATGAGAAACTTTTTGTTGAATAGTTTACAAAATTTTCACATCAAAAAATAATAACAAAATAATTAATAGTAGTAATCATTCATTTATTCATTCATACATTCAAAAAAACAATAATAATAATTAATTATTAATCATTTGTATAATGAATATGGAAAATGAATTTTATCAAGACCTTGCTGAAACTTATATTAATGAAGAATCAAATACAAATTGTGAAAGTGATAATGGGAATGTAATTAATGTCATAAATGATAATGGAAATGTAATTAATGTCATAAGTGATAATACAAATAATAAAAAAATCATCAAAAGGAAACATCCAAAAAAATCAAAAGTTTGGGATTACTTTGAAGACAAAATAAACAACATTTATTGCAAAGTCATTATCAATCCTCAAACAGAAACTAAATGTGGTGCAAAATATGCTAATTCAGACACCACTTCAACTTCAACATTAAGTTATCATTTAAAACATTGCCATCAAATTTTTGTTAATCCTGAAGAAGTATGTTTATATATATGTTTATATTATTTGCTCAACATATACATTTATTTATTATAATTCAAATTTTTTTAGAAATCTGATTTAAAACAACCCAAGTTAACTGATGTGTTTGAAAAAATTCAAGAACATCCACAACAAAAAATGAAAGATCCCCATCTTGCCACCACTGAATGGATTGTATTGGACTCTTTACCTTTCAATGTGCTTCAAGGAGAAGGTTTTAAAAAATTTATCAAGAAATTGGATCCTAAATTTCGTGTACCAAATAATAAAACAATTAAAAATATTATTGCAGACAAATATTCCATTCAAAAAACCAAAATCAAAAATTTAATTAAAGATACTTGTGTTACTGCAACCATTACAACTGATCTTTGGACCTCTAGATCAAAGGAAGGTTATATTGGAGTAACATGTCATTGGCTTTCACCAAAATTTGAACCAATTGATATATTACTTGCTATAGAAAGGATGCCATATCCACATACGAATGAAATAATTCTTAATTATTTAAAAAATTTGGTAGAAGAATTTGGATTGTCAAATAAAATAATCTGTGGAGTAACAGATAATGGCAGTAATATGAGAAAAGCATTTGATACATGGGAAGGAGTTGAATGGCTCCCATGTACTGCACACACTCTCCAACTTTCTGTAAATAAAGCTCTTATAATAATAAAACCTTATGTTAAAAGATTCAAAAAGCTGGTAAAATTTTTTTCTACCTCCCCAAAACAAAGTGAAAGATTGGATAAGGCACAAATTGAAGTTGCTAGTTGTGAGTATCAAGGATTAGAACATTCTAAATTAATTCATTTTTATGATGAAGATGAAGATGGAAATGAAGATGAAGATGAAAATGGTGATGATGGTGATGATTTAGAAAATAATACAAATTCTTTAAATAATTTTCAAGTGTTAAGAATATAACAAGTATCAAAACAAGATGGAATTAATCATATATTTCATGGTCTCAGCTTCTAATACTTTGTAAGTCAATACAATGGCTTGCTGACACCTTACCTTACGAAGCAAATAATGATTCAAAAAAGGATGCACGTTGTTTAAAACAATGTTTGTTGCAAGATTATGAATGGGACCTTCTGGAAAAAGTTTTGTTATTGCTAAAACCATTTGAAGAAGCCACAACATTTTTTTCTGGTGCACAATATCCAACATCGTCTCTTATGTATCCTACAATCCAAAAATTAAAAATTAAATATGCTTGTGGTGTAACAGGTAGAAATAGAAAAGATGATAATGACAATGATGGTATGCATGATTTTTTTTAAATTTTTTTAATTATAATTATTACTATTATTAACATCATCATTTGTGCTTCTTTTTTTAGAATTAATTTCATCTGATGATGAAACTGATATTGAT